TATAATCGTATTAATTGTTAAGCCATGATCATTTAACAAAATAAATGCAAGATTTAAGTCGTCTTATAATGAATGCTATCTCAGAGGTATCTACAAAATGGTCTATACAAAAAAATGGAGTGTACGCAAAATTAAAGTAATAGGTCGAAATTACTTTTCATAGATTATACTTGATAAAAGTACAAATAATAAATAACGTGCATGTAATTATTATGTATAACCTGCCTGTTCGCTGAACCGATATGCTTAGGGTGATATCTGCCAATGCGTACTCATATGTTTCTATAACAAGAAGGTTAGTCCTGCCCTTTACCGAAAAGCCATCCATGCAGACATTTTAAGCCGCCCATTTATTATTGCTAAGTCATTGCTATTAACATTCTTCAATTATTAAACCATTGTCTTCGATACTTCTATTTTCGTTATTTGATGATGGGCAATGCAATAGACTAATATAAAACGACGACCATTTTCTTTGTAAACCAATCAGATTCTTCCTTCCTCTCCTAACAGCAGCTTCCCTCAAACTCGCAGGTTCATTTATTTTAGGTTTCACCACTAGACGAAAGAAGGTTATCGTCTGGCCATCAAGTCTTGGCATTAATGTGCGACAATATAAACAGGTTTTGAGGGCAGTTGCTAATTATAATCCTCATATCTTGCAGAATAACGGCATGTTGCGTGATTTATATAAATGATCTGCATAATATCAATATACTAAATAAACAACAACAAAGATGTGGTCTCATTCGACTCCGGCTATTATGTAAAAAATTTTCCTCCGCCTTTCTTCTATTTGTCTAAAACATAACTTTAACTCTTATTCCAAGTCCGGGTTAAGATTAGTCAAATGACTGCAAATAACAGCGAAGGAATCGTACGTTTCATCTTTTTCTGAAATCTGGAATACTTTTGCCTATTGTTGAAATGGAAGAAAATGCCAAACCTAAGCATGTATCCAGTAATAAGAACTTGATATTAGATATCTTATTGGATAACGAGTCTTAATAGCTGACAAATATAAATCTGATATACTATCCAAAAGATATGAGAAATCACAATTAATACGTGTAAAAAAGAAAACAAACAAACAAATAAAAACTAACTTTAGATAACATGCAGACTAAACTTTTGTGTGTTTGAGGTAGGTTACTTTTAGCAGAAGGAAGAAACTAACGTCAAATAGTTTAACGCCTTTACTTTTAAACAATTATTTATGCGCTAACACCCATAACGGTTAGTTTTACCATTTTCTTTAAAATCAAAAGTCGACAAGCAGTTTTCAGAGTATGCATGCAACGATAAGTAGACTCGTAAGAATAAGCCATATAAACATATAGCAACCAGCAAAAATTGTATCGTGTTATTCACATACTAAGGTCATGGCACAAATTCGTAATACGTGGGTGGCTAAAAATATTCTTTATTTCGATAATTCCGAATGCAATTATTAAAAAACTAATTTGCTTCTCAAAGTAATCTTCATTAACATCTATACAATGTTGCAAACAGTTCTGTCAACTCTAAGGCTTATCATAGTCAGCTTTTGGGATAATATCGACGATTGACTGACGAATTTCAACACGACTGAAACTTTCTCCTTTAGTTTTTTCACGAGTCGAAGAAATTAAAAAAAAAACAATCTAGACTATACGAAAAATTGAAGAATGTTTACCCGTTACTTTTGGAGACGTTCAGTCATGATTGCTAATTAACCTGGTGCAGCATTGTTCGAAAGTACTTATGATGACGACAGCATACGATTTGCATAAAACGGAGGCTTAAAATTTATTATTTTAATTCTCTTCCGAATTTACTCTTTTTACTCATGGAAATACCTATTTCTACGGTAATTAAAATAAGCATTAGTCTATATAAATAGTCGACTTTAATAAAATTTCTGACGCCCGCTGTTTTGCAATGACTCCCAGAACAAAATTGCTTTTATCACTATTCCTTGAATGCAACAAGTTCAGCTTTAATCGTACGAAGAGATAATTCTTTTTACCTTGACCAACTTGTTACAAACTATTTGTAACGAAACAAAAATGTATTACTATCATCATATGTAGCTTTTTGTCTAGGATATTAGACTTTCAAAAATAATCTTTCGAATGTTCGACGTAAAGTTTTGTGACTTCTTTTTTGCTCATTCCCCAAAACGTTTGCAGAACGATTGACTAACTTTATTTTGCATACCAGCTAATTATTAACCCTTAGCGAGAAAACTTTTCAGATCGCGCGCAACAAGAGGTACAGTGTGTAACAAAAAACTGTATATTTTTATTTTGTCATTTCTCCTCTGCGAGTTAGCCAATTTATAAAAATCAAGTCATTTAAAAGATAAAAACATACCAAATTTATTTGATTATAATTATTATAATAAAGAATTTGTTTCCCATTTCTCTCAATAACAATGTCGTCTCATTAAATTAACATGCTTTCCGAGTTCTAGTCCACTCCTCCGTCATAAATTTCTCCAGCTCACCAAGATTTTTGGCATACACCTCTCTACACAATTTTTCAAAGGTCTTCTACCGGATTTAAATCGGGAATATTCGATGGCCAGTCCATAACCGCCGGCATGTTTTCTTTCAGAAACTCCGTAGCAAGACGACTCGTGTGTTTTGGATCATTGTCTTGCTGGGGTCTCCATTTACCTCCTATCATTCTATTTACTTCCGGCATGTGCTTCTGGAGGATTTTTACATAAATTTGACATCCATTATCCTCAAACAAACTTGTGTTTTTGACTACGCAAATCCGCTCCCATGCAAAGACTTTTGTGTATGGGACGAATTGACCGTACTCTAACGTTCGATGGTGTTCCGGTAAAGCTAAAACGCGGTATCAGAAAATAACGTCTTTTTCCAATTTTTATTAAGGTGTTGACGTGCCCATTCAACACGAACTTTGTTTATGAGCTTTGGTTAACATATGAGTTTGTTTAGTCAATGCTTTCGAGTACCTATAAGTGGTCAAGTGCCTCAAAATTGTCATGACACGTCAACACCTGTATTCGATACTTTTCGAGCTAAGGTCCGTGCGGAAATTGAGTCATCTCTCCGTATTAATTATCAGATTATTTTCGAGGTGTTTCAGTTATTTTCCTGGGCCGACCATTTCCTTACACGTGATCCACTGTCCCTTCTTCTTTTATTTGTTTATGTTATTATAATTAGTAGAAAGTAGAATGTCTGTTCGGCAATAAATTTCTTGACTATTTATTCCACAAATGTAATATGCATTAACGTTACGTCTCTTGCTTAAAAGTGGGCACTGTATTTGTACAGAAAACAAAAGTTTAGGGTTGTAAGCAACGTTCTGATAATCATGTTTATTTTCCATTTACATTTTAATCTCTCAAATTGGACAAAAAACAAACGCGTGAGACACGTTTATGTCGCATAAAAAAATTTCAGTTTTTTGTTAGACACAGTATTTTATGATTGTCTCCCCAGTTTTACCATTGCATTGCTGTTTTCCCTATAAATTCATAAAACATACATAATAGTTAATATAAAATTATTTGTCAATTAAATTTTTTAATAATTATATCTATTCTGGATTGTAACTGCCAAGCTGAATATAATAGAGTTGACTAAGTCAGTAGTCTCATCACTAAGAATCGACATCACAGAGCCATATTGTTGCGTGAGGGAAAATTGCCAACATTTAAATAAAAATAATAACGTTAACAGAGATAGTACTAATAAAAGACCAGAACAAATTATTTTATAATTGGACAAGAAATTAACATAAATATAAAATAATACAAATTTTCCATAAAAAGCTTTCATGGCTAAATTGCTTGGAATATTCAAGACCTGCGCTTGGTTAAATTAAGACTTTTATAGAATAATACAGTAACAAGAGTTTGATAAAAATTGTAACATATTATTCGACATTATCAACAATGTCTACTATAACTTAAACTATTTTCTTTGATCGTAAGTATTATATTTTTTAAATGATGTGTTAATGGGCAAAAAATGATATAATTATTTAGTAATCAAATTTTCTAAAACAAACATGTTAGAATTTACATTGCAAGCTGAATATCAATTCGAATAAATGGCGAGTGTTTGACTACGCGTATTGTCCAAATACTTACAATTGCCTTAGAGGTAAATTTATTATTGAGGACAAACCAGCCATTATGCTTTAAATAAAACATAAGGCAATTTTACAACCAGCTGGTTCTATGCTCTCAGAATGTATACTAAAGCCAGAAAGCAAACTGCTTTAACAAACTTGTCAAGTTTAGCATTTAATGTCTCGGGCGTTACTTTAATGTATACCGTGTGCTGCAACAAAGTGTTGATATAAGAATAAAATAGTGTTAATGATTAAAGTATTAAACAACAATAACTTTCTTAAGCAATACATACAATAGTTGCTCTATCGTAACATAAGTTAAACGAGTTAGAAGTTATATTAATTCTCTCTCTCAGCGCTGGTATCCTCAATTTGTTACGATAGTAAATGGTACATGCATTCTTGCGGTAAAAAAAAGGAGGCGTAGTTTAACAATGACCAGGTATGAAATTGACAATATGTTCACTTTTCGGAACGCAAAGCTTTATTGTTGATTGGGTTCATCATAGTCGGTATTCAAGGTTATTCTACACTGAATTTAACATACACACGAAGACTTGTTATCGAATGATCGGACAATAGCCAAAACGATAAAATTTAATTATTTTTGACTATTCTGTAAGACGGATATGTTAACAAATATTATAAAGTAAAAAGAATAACAATTCGTACAATTTTCTTTCCATTCTGAAATGTACAATGGAACAACCAATAACAGCATTTCATACAACAATAAGATATTTTAGTATCTGTCTCTGACGCTATAAATAGATATTATTGACGGTAAACATGGCGGTGCGGTAGGTAGTGCAATCTATTATTATGGTGATGTTTTGGTATCACAAATTGATGTCCATATAAATGTTGGACCCCTTCCTTTTCGCCCCCAACGTTCCATAAAGATGACTATGATTTCGTATTGTATAATACTACTACTTATTGTAAATATTATAAATTATACAAATGAACGTTTTATTTTTGGTGCCTCGGCATCAGTAACAAATATAATATATGTCGGTGACGGAGGCCCATATTTTACTCCTTCCTTAACGTTTACTTTGCCTGGAAACACAGTAGAGTGGATATGGAGTCAATATACAACAGTGGCGGGAACGTACGAAGTAGTGCAGACTACTGCACACAATGACTGTACCCCTCTTGTGGGAGGGTGTAAGTATGAGGGGGAGAGAGAGGAAGTGATGAGAAGTAAAGAATCGATCAGTGTACGAGGAGAATGAATCGAGCACGGTGTGCGGGTTGATCGGATGTAACCATTGACGATTTGATAACTCAGTTTCCTGCTCAACTTTTTGCGTTATTGCAGTTCAATCTAATTCAATGACAACGGGCGGACAGGGAAATAACCGATTTAGCATAACAATCAGTCAGCAATCTGGAGAGGTGAGCTTCCTCTAGAGATTTGATGTTGCATCGTTCACATTCATAGCTCGCCCATACAAACGTCTTTTCGTCTTGTGTCCGTGTGCTCACTTTTCATCTGTTTTATTCTAGATATATTATGCATGTAATTTAAACAATCACTGCGCAAATAGTAGTATGCAAGGTGTAATAAGAATTCTTGTTTCTCCCATTACCACTTCGTCCGGGCCAACCAGCAACTCAGTTAGCGATTCATCTGGTAGCGGATTCGGATGGGATCAACTACGAAAGTTTTTGCCAATCTTAATCCCAGCGTTGCTGTTGGTCATTATCTGTATTTCTCTTGCATGCCGTAGACATCATAAAAAGAATGATGCGACAAGAACTGCGAGTGCTGAGTATCTGGCTGGCGACGTCAGGGAACGTGATGTAAACGAACATAGGCGTTATGGAAGATCACTAAGAATGTCGAGCTTATGATTTCTTTGCTTAGAGGGGTATCAACGTCATGCACATTCAATAACATTACTAGAACAGTCACTTTAGAAATTAATAATTGTATAATACTTTCGTTGTAAATGCTAGTGTGATACATATCGATTGTCATTTCATTTTTGGAAATTGTGACACGGGCTCGGAGTTATCTTGGCATAGGGCGCACGCATGTATTAGCTATTTTTAAATCTGGTATCAATATTTCTATTATTGACATAGCGACACTTGTATATTAATATTAAACACACGCAGATCGATCCATGTCAGTCAATTGTTAGTCGAGAGTATAGCTGTGAATTGTATTATGCAGATGTTAGTGTTATGCTTAATTTGAACGAAACCTTAGTTACACTCGACGTTCGTTTGTCGTTTGTGCCCGTGGAATTATTGTAATTTATATTTTGTTTAAACGGATCACGAAGTTCTTAGCCAGATATGTTTAAGGCTGGTTATGGCCTGATCACTCTGCATTAGTTGCAAATCTCCTGGAGATTTGCAACCGTTTGCGCTAACTCTTAAAGGATCACAATAGTTTTTGCTTCAACATTGACCAAGCCTTGTTATTTCTTTATACCACTAAAATGCCTTGCACAAGAGCTTATTCTGATTCTAGAAAACGGGAACAAGTCTCAAAATGCAAGGTCGGGACTCGTAAGAGAGGTGTGGCATTAGTGTAGGTTCTTTATTTCTCAAGTAAAGCAGATCATCATGAGCGCAACAGTTTAACTTTTTTTTCAGTGTAAAAAGCAGCTTAGTAATTGCACTCAGGTCAGTACTTAGACTGTTTCGGTACAAATTTGTGCTAGAATTGAGATTCAATGGCAAAATCGCGTTATATCACCTGTATTGCATAGTTTACTTGGATCCGGGCGGGCATTGTTTATAAAGTCTCGTGATATCATTTACCAAGCCGATCGACTGATCCTCCGAAATAAAAATTTTTGTGGCACTGTAGTGGCGATGTATTTTTGACCGCTTCGTGTTCAATTTCGATTTTATGATAAAATCTTCCTCCGCAGTCGTAAGTCTCATGATTAATATTAATTTTAGATCAATGGTACAAGCGCACAAACGAAGATAATTTTAGAACAAAAAAAATAGCGTTACCGATTTTCTGCGACGTCTCTGAAAATATATACAAGTAGCTCATATCGATATCCCATCATCAAGCATGCTTGATTGTTAGCATGTTTGCTAATTAATATTTTTCGAATATTATCCACGAATTCCTTATAATGAATAAACAATTTCCTTTGAAATCGAGCTCCTTTATTCTTTTATTTCTCTCGTCGTTAAATATTTACACGGATTTAATGTCAAACGGCTTATTAAGCTGTCGGTTAATATATAAACACCCTAAATAAATTGCCAACCGCAAGCTGTAAAAAAAAAAGTTCTAGACGCTTAATGTTAACCTTACTTTTAATTAAACAAATTATAATTCCGTATATATTACTTGTCACGGATGCACTCTTTAGTTGTAATTGAAATTGTAAAACCTAGATAAATTGTTTGTTTAAATAATGTCTGGGAATAATACCAAATTGAGTGCCTGTCTTTAAAATATGCCCTACAATTTTTAGTGGCTAATGTGTAGATAGCATAATAAAAGTCTTAGAAAATACACCATAAAATTAAGTATCACTTTTGCCAAAAGCTTCAGGGCAATACGACTGGCTTTTTTGCAAATCGAGCTCTTAGCATAATTATTAATCATGTGTCTTTGTGATCGAATGGGTTTTCGTTGTTATAATAATGATTGCATTATTTTTAGAATCACGTGATTGGAGAAACGGATTACTTTATATTCGGTAAGCGGGATTCATAATAAATTAAAATAATTCTTCGCTATCGTCTTTAGTGTAAATTTATCGACAATGCTTTGATAGACATTATTATCCACATTATTCTAAAATTAAACTACATTAATAGTCCGTGTAAATTAGACAATTACAAACTAAATAATTTGTTCGATAAGTATTACTAATGTAGTATTAAAGTATATTCTGTAAATATAATGGAGACATCTAAAGTCTATTCTTGCGGAGACGCAGCGCGGCGTAAAATCCAACGCGAAATATTATCATCAATCCAAGCAAAGCGACCTGCCAAAAGACGAAAGAAAGGGAAAACGAATATAAATCAGTAAGATAAATCTATTAAATCATTACATATTGTGCTTCTAATCACAATTATTCTGCATCGATACATAATTCTGTTCACATGCTTCCTTGCACAAATGTATGTATACTCACCGCCCATAACCACGGCTTTATTTCAGTATACCCAAACGAATCCAACACATCCTGGCCATTAAATGTGCACGACTTGCCACTTGTGTCTCCATAGAAACACGAACACCTGCTGGTAGATTCATCCTTGTCACACTTGAAAGTCAGCCCAACAAAATCATTTTTAATGATGGCTTCAAACGCATATTTCTGATAATCAATATAGTGGGCCCATTTCCATCCACGTGGAATGGAGTCTCTTCTGACGAAATATCCCTGGACTACCATAAAAAACCCATTGAGGAATGCAACGATGGCCAATGCAACGACAAATATCGGGATGACTGCAGCCACGAAAACAACCATCGACTCGGCAACCATCAACGCAAGATACAAATACGCTAGGAATGACATACAATGTCCGAATCCCGAGTGCAAGCCAATCATCGGGTACGCAACAGCGGTGAATGTCAAAGCAATGATAAACACAAACGGGATTGACACGACGAAATTGGCTAAAGCATATGATCCGACCGAGTAGAATCCGTCGGCTCTCTCACGGCGGAATACCACACGCTCTTCGAGGAATCCAGGAATACCAGCAACGCTCATAAACACAAGGAACGCAACCGAAAAGAAATGGGCCGAGAACCTATCTTGAATATTTTTCTGCTCGAATGCCACTTGCCACCATACTGTGCCCATCAACAGCGCCAAACAGACATACATTGCTACGCGAATCCAGTATAAAAGAATATTACGGTAAGCGTTTGTGAATGAGCGTTTGGTGATAAAATAAGTCTGGACGAAGAACCCTCTGGCATATCGATTGTACCCTTGTGTTGTTTTGGATGTCACTAGTTTGTCACTTGCTACATCTTCTTTGTCAATTGGTAAGCATAACTCGTCAATTTCTTTATCAACCGATCGCTTGACCGAAGATTCTTCGTATTTCTCAATCAACGTTTGAATATGTGCCTCTCCGACTTCTTTGTCTTGCATAAAATCAACGTTGATTTTTGATAAATAGAAATCAGCTGGATTCGCATGTTCGGGACACTCATAGCCTTGGTCTTTGAAATAATCTAATGCCCCATCACGGGATCCGTGGTATATAGTTCCTCCACGGGAAATCAAATACAATTTATCAAACAAGGCAAACACCTCTGAGCTCGGTTGATGGATACTGGCGATAACGGTCAATTTATGCATCTTTGCTGTGGTTATAATGGCATTCATTACACTATATGCAGCAGCCGAGTCTAAACCGGTTGTGGGCTCATCAAGAAAGATTATCTTGGGAAGGGTGACAAATTGCGAGGCAATAGCGGTACGTCGTTTTTCGCCACCGGAGACACCGCGGATGATTATGTTTCCAACCTTGTGATCAGCTACACGTTCAAGTCCAAATTCTTTGATGATTGCAGTGACTTTTTGATGACGCTCTTGCGGCGAAACTGTCGATGGGAAGCAAAGGTCTGCGGCAAATCGGATATTCTCGCGAACAGTTAGAGAACCTATAGTGACGGGAGGTAAGCAAAAAAGTCGAATGGAATGTCCGGTAGAATGATTGATAAATGTGAGCTCGGTTCATTTCTTCCCGACAATCACTTCCAGGATAGTTTACTTTCCGACAACCATTTCCCCGACAATTGTTTCCCGAAAAATAGCCCCTGTAGCTCAGTCGGTTAGAGCGCTGTGTATTTCGCCACCAATCTATTAATGTGAAATTTGCCCGCCAGACTTATTTCTACCTAGATCAGCTGCTGACAAAACATAACTCTTAAAATAATTGTCGGGGGTAAATGATTGTTGGGCTCCCCATAAACGTATCTACCCGATGCAAAGTCTAACTCACCCATTAAAGCATCATCCTGCATAACATACGTCGATACAAACTTTACGTTCTCTCCGCTTTTTCCATTCAAGTAAACCGTCCCGGTAACATGTTTGGGATCCTTTCTACCGGCCAGAACGTCCAACAGAGTGCTTTTGCCTGCTCCGGAAGGACCCATAACTGCAAAAAAAATAATACAAATGAATATAAGCTATGCAATTGTTAAAAAACAAGTCTGATTATAGCCGTTCTCTGGTCTACTTACTCGCCATAATTTCTCCAGGGTTGACAATACCGCAACAGTTTTCGATAATATTTTCCGGTTTCTTGGTCTTTTTATTCGTGATAGTATATGTCAGCTTTGTCCATGATATTGATAGCGACTCCTCAGCTTGAAGCGTAGCAGAGTTTTCTTTGTGAGTGGATGATACGGCTATAGTATGAAAAGGGTTTATGAATTGATACGAACATCATCTCCTTAATTAACTAGAATTGACCTTAATTCAATTACCGTGCTCTTCTAAAACTTTGATATGAACTTCTTTACGTTCAGTAATAGTTTCACTGACTATACGTTCGCCTTCGGCATCTTGTTTTGTGCTTATTGATTCCATCTCATCCGATGCTTAATGAACCTTGTTTGATGATAATCACAAAGATATCGTGAGCGTATTTTGTATATTGATCAGTCGTCGTAATGCCGTTTTGGAAAAAAAAGAGACTACATTTTTTATAAGATGCTGAATGCATAGCCATTCCTGTTGCACGTTGTTACGTCCCTTTGTACATTACCAATCTAAGAGTGAACCCATTATTATTATCCACAGTCGTTATCAAAGCCGCATAATCGACGTGATCACCAAACTAGTGTTACTGTTATTGCATAATAATAAAGTAAACAAATCAAAGTCTCATTTAAATTTCCATATCCGTATCATACGAGTCTGAATCCCTAATTACTAAACGTCGTTAGCTTGCGGCGAAGCAACGACCAATTGGCCTGGAGTATTAAGTCGGTTCGTACACAACTTGTTATTGTCAGTATTATGCGAAGTGAGGTTGTGTAATCGCGCACCAGTAATTATGAAATCCATCCTCCCTTATTTTATAGTATCACAGCATGTCCGACAATGTTTGGGCAACTCAAAGAATTTGATTGGGATGACGCGGACAGCAAAACAGCGCTTATCGGATTACTCATTAACGGGACGGGGCGATATATTGGTAGAACCTCTTTCAATTCTTAGAATACTTCTCAAGCAAATACAAACATAAGGACAGTAAAACGACAATGGTTTTAAATGGTCGACAAGTTATACCCGTGCAACCAAACAGACAACACTTTGCAAAGAACAATGTCTTAAAAATGCGGTTGTTTGCAATTTCCATTTACAGGGTATTTCAAATTTTTATTCAATTGGCAAGCTTTAGGTGAGTGGAAAACATTTCATTGTTTGTCTTTCTTGGTTACTGAAAAACCCGTTTTTTTTTTAACGTTAAAACAATCAAATCCTTTGTTGTATGCTTTTGTGATTTCTAAAATTAAATTTCAATATTTCGGAAAAATATTTATGCATTATGAACTTTGACAATGTTTTATTGAAATGCAGTCATTAGTATTTTTGACACTATTGCAATATGCAGGCAATCGAAGATTGTGAGTTTACCCATATTAATTAGAGAAGAACCAGTTTATTTATTTTATTATTTTTGGTAAAACTTTTTGATTGGTGAAACTGCTTTGCCAAGACCGGTTCAAATTAGAGAACAGCGATTGCTATAATACGATGCGAGCGATGTAATATAATTTCGTATAATAAGATAATGCCTTTTTTTTTGAGACCTTTAATCTTTGAATTTCAAATCAGGTGGGATTATTCAAAGTTATTAACAGCTTTAGCGGTCCACGTAGCTGTGCTGAATAAAGGGCCCACCAAATCAAAGTTATTATTGTGATGTCTGAGTCTGGGATCTGGTCGTTCAGGACTGAGACAAATTACCAATTGAGATGCAACATTACTGCGTAGTAAGCTATATATTTACTTTCCATATATACAGTTGACACTGTCTATGCTGAACCTATTTATACCGAACCCAAAATTGCCAGAACCAACTTTTTATAATTAATAACTCTGGGTATAACGAATTTTATTACCAAATCTGTTTATAACTGTTGTGTCTGAGTTCAGACCTGTCTCAGTTCAGAACCCAGACACAAGACACTCAGTCCAGAACTCAGTTATCTCAGTCCAGAACCGAGACAGGTCCCCAACTGAGGTACAACATAACGGATCCGAATTGTGTGAGACAAATAGCGGCTTTAGGGTATCAAAGACAATTTTTGTTTCTAGAACCCTCATACAAATCTTACCAAATTAGCATTTGCTCTACCATCGTGTAATAATAACGATAACCGACTAAAACTGTTTTAGAGTTAAAAGATGTTTCAGTCAATATAAAAATAGTAAAGCTTGAATTTGAAACAATACATTGTGGCGTGCAATTTAATGTGTTAGTAATTTAGTATAAAACGCTACTATTTTGAAGGATAATTGTTGAATAAATGAGCAAATCGCTCAAGGTTTACTACAATAATATAATCACGTGATATACCTGGTAATACGAACTCTGGTTATAGTGAACAAAAACTCTTCAGCCGGGCAGTTCGGTATAAACAGTGTCAACTGTACAAGCAAACTCTCATGACTTTAGTGTACTACATAAAATGAGGCTTTTACGAGACGGGAAGAAATATTTCCGCCGCCATTGTCTTATAAAAATATTAAACATTTTGTGTAACTTTGTGTGCAATTGTTGTAAACGTACAACGTTACGGTTATAAAGAATGCTGCATGCACACAATGACCATGCAATAGAATACACTGAGAGAAATTTCCCACAATTTTTTCCATCATCATCACATTAAGAATGGAATCAATTAGTACAAAACACGATGACGAGAGTGAGCGCGCATTCAACGAAACCACTACTGAAAATATGGAAAAAGTTTATATTAATATAGTTGAAGATCACGGTAAACAAATGATGTCCAGTTCACATGCGTGAGAAATCGATGATTTATAAAATCCCTTCCATATCTTATACTAATACAACCAGAAAAGCAAGCATTTATAGACGAATATGGCGATAGATATGGTTACAATGGAAGAATTGACCAGATTAGAGAAGAGGAGTATCCGCATTTAAAAAGTAAGAATTTAATTTTAAGGTTGTTTTTTTTTTTACTTTGTAAATACCTTAATTAAGCAAATACAAACGACATTTAATTATATTACATATCCTCTCACCGTAAAAAGATGGTGTCTATCTAGACCATGCGGGAACGACAACATACTCTCAAAGCACTCTCGACAACCTCAAAGCCGACCTTACCGCTAACCTCTATGGCAACCCACACAGCAAGTCGCCAAGTTCCATGTTAACAACAAAAAAGGTCGAGGCTGTTCGCAATCAAATTCTTAACTATTTTGATGCTACTCCTGGGGACTATCAAGTAGTGTTCACTCAAAATGCAACCGCTGCAATAAAACTAGTTGGAGAACTCTTCCCATGGCAGAGTGAAAGAAGCTGGTTTAAGTATTCGAGAGAAAACCATACGAGCGTTATTGGCTTGAGAAAACTTGCTAAGAAAGGTGGTGCCGATATCAGCGTGCTTACCGAAGCGGAAATCGAGACCTTTATTGAGGTTGGCGGCAATAAGTGTCAGTCCAAACCACAAGATGGTGACGAAGTTGTCTATAATCTATTTGCATATCCTGGTCAATGTAACTTTTCAGGAATGAAATTTCCGATAAACTGGACAAAACGTATCAAAGAAAGTCATGATACAGAAACGTCAAAAGTATTAGTTTTGTTAGACGCAGCATCATATGTCACGTCATCGCAACTGTCTTTGAAAGACACAAAATCATCACCTGATTTCGTAGATATAAGTTTTTACAAACTATTTGGATATCCGACTGGACTTGGTGCTTTACTGATAAAAACTGAACTTACACCGATTTTCAAAAAGTGTTATTTCGGTGGTGGGACTGGTAAGTATAACTATACTGGCAGTTTGTTTGATAAGAATTCATACACACGTCGGGTAAACTAACGGCGAGCGTTTTATATCAACGACGTCTTGTTAGTTTCGGTACTTCTCTATGATGCAGATTATGCTCGATTTTGGCCATCTCTTTCAGAAACTTACGAAGATGGAACCATAAACTTTCTAAACATTATTGCACTTTCTCATGCATTTGATGCATTTCACAAACTTTACAATTCGATCAATTACGTCAACATGCACACGTCCGCGCTTATATCCTATCTTTATTCGCAGTTGTCCGCAATGAAGCATTATAACGGAGCGCCTGTTTGCGAAGTATTTAGTTCTAGAAATTTTCACGACCCAAAAACACAAGGACCAATCTTGAACCTTAATTTTAAGAAGCCTGATGGGTCATGGGTAGGATATGTAGAAGTAGAAAAGTTGGCAAGCGTTAACAATATACAT